CCCCGGCGCCCTCGGGGAAGAAGCCCCGCCCGAGGGGGCCGAGCGCCTCGACGTCCGGGCGCGCGCGTTCCCCTGCTGGGGAGCCGCGCGCTGACCTGCTCTCGCGAGGGCTCCCGCGAGTGTTCACTCTTGCAGCCCCCGCCCCGGCCCCCAGCCACACAGCAGCGGTTAGGTAGGTTACCGTAGGGAGGAACGCAAGATCGCGATGGCCTCTCAGGAGAAAGCCATTGCACCCTTGGAAAACCTTATACCTGCCGTGGTTTGTGTTTTCTTTCCTACCTAAGTAATGGAGTTGTAATTTCACACTGGCACATTCGCAGGGCTGTGCAGATTCTTTGCACTTTATTTCATAGGTGAATAAGTGCTTTTAGCTTTCTTTGTATATGAGTTGCTTTTGAATTGCTTCCCATATTTTTATTTCATACAAACTGAACAATTGTGGCCCCTCTATTTTATTTATAAAGGTTCAGTGTATCTTTGCCTGCCTACATCAATCTGCAAGGGAGTTGCAGAAAAGCCTCATGTTCATCGAGCCGTGAGTCACAACCAATTTCTAAGCTGTTATAACAAAAAAGTGTTTGCTTTTTTCACAAGTAACTTTAAAAGTGTAGTTTAGAAAGAAAAAAAAAACATTTTCAATAAAAAGACACTACATTAATCCTGGATGCTTGCGAGTCCTGAAATATATCCCTCCTTGACTATTACACAGCTCTGTGTCCTATACACAGATTAGCTTTAAAATTTGTCACATACCACTTTGCCTTTACTTTTATGTATCATTCCCCCTGACTTCCTTACTGCAGGTGTGGGCAAGAAAACTTTTCCTTTAAAACTTTTCAACAGCGGGCATAAAATTCTGCAGCTGAGTTCTTGAAGAATGCAGATGGGTACAGTATGTGTTGGAGCTCACAGTGTGTATTGACTAACCTAGTTCTTTTTTTGCCTTTTTTTTTTTGGTATTGTCTTGTAAAAAGTGACTCCCAGGTGCCAACTTTTTTAAGGGCGGGGATGAAAGGACAGTAGGAAAAATGAATTAACAGTCAGTGATAGAATTTTAAGGCTTTTTTCATTGTGTAATTTTGAGCAAGATATTGCCCGTGCATTTGTCCTTAACAGAAAATAGCATTTGTTGGTGGAAATTGCCAGCTATAGGTCATCAGTGGTGATTCATAGCACTGTTATTACATGGGTTTTAGTATATCAATCCCTACATGTGCATTTTGACTAATGGCCTTTTGGTGCTCAGCCTTTTACTTCTGACTCGACTTGTTTGGCACAGTGATGGAGTCAGATCTCATTAAGTGTGATTCTTCTTGATAAACTTATATTTTGAAAAAAGTCTTTGTTCTACTGCAGTTGTAAATTATCTTTAGATCAGCTTTTCAGTATATGATGGGGAGAAGAAGTGATAGTCAACAAATCATCCAGGTGAATTTTTGTGCCAGACACTCTAATTTGGTTAGCATTATAATACTGTCTTATTTAAAACCATAAATGAATTTCAGGAGACGAAACCAGACAGAGGGTCAAGTTTACAGATGACCGAGTCTGCAAGAGTCACCTTCTGGACTGCTGCCCCCATGACATCCTGGCTGGGACGGTAAGGATGTTTGGGGATCTCTTGGGATACTCGGTGTATAAAATAGTACATTTCTAAAGATTGAGTTCGTTTGATATAATTTTATTTTACAGAACATTTTTTTTCACTCATAAAGCTCTGTAAAGGTATCTGGTTGGTAGTAATTTATAGTGAGATTGTTCCAATGAAGTAGTACAGGTCTCCTGATGTAGTGAAAAGTGTACTTTACCTCAGCCTTTGTAGATTTGGGTGGTTTGTTTAATTTCAGGTGATTGTATGCTAGATTTTTCATCTAGCCAAGCACTGGGCCTCTTTTTTTTTTTTTTTCCCCTTCTCTCCCTTCCCCAACAAGGAGCTCTATTCCTCCTCCCCTCACCACCACCCCCCTCCAGGCTAGTCCTGGTCCTTGAACTCCAGAGTCTGGGCATTGTCCCTGAGCTTCATTTGCTCAAGGCTAGCACTCTACCACTTGAGCCACATTGCCACTGCGGGCTTTGTCTGCTCATGTGATACTGAGGATTTAAGCCTAGGGCTTCATGCATGCTAGGCAAGCAAGCACTCTACCACTAAGCCACATTCCAGCTCCTAATACCTTTTTTTAATGCTGGAACTCAGGCTTAAACTAAGGACCTGATTACTGGCTCTTAGTTTTTGCTCAAGGTTAGTGCTATGCCAGTGAACCACAGCTCCACTTCTGCCTCCTTGTTGAGGAATTGAAGATAAGCCTCTCATGAATTTTCCTGCCCTGGTTGCCTTCAAACCATAGGCCTCAGAATCTTAGCCAGCTTGAGCTACCATTGCCCAGCTTTGTTGGGTGTTTGGAGATAGTTTTACAGACTTCATTGAGTTAACCTCAAATTACTGTTTTTTGCCTCAGCCACCTGAGTAGATGGGTACCTGGCCCTTAGTTGTTTTTTTTTCAGGTAGGGTCTCATTTTTTGTGTGTGCTAGCATAGAGGACTTTAATCCCCCTGTCTATACCTCCCAAAGAACCGTGATTACAGGTGTGAACTACTATTCCCAGCTTTTTTTTTTTGTCAGTTGTGGGGCCTGAACTCTGGGCCTGGGCGCTGTCCCTCAGCTCTTCAGCTCAAGGCTAGCGCTCTACCACTTGAGCTACAGTGCCACTTCCGGCTTTTTCTGCTTATGTGGTGCTGAGGAATCGAACCCAGGGCCTCATGCGTGCAAGGCAAGCACTCTACCACTGAGCCACCTTCCCAGCCCAGCCAGCTTGTTTGTTGAGATAAAGTCTAGCTAACCTTTTGTCAGGGCTGGCTTGGAACCATTAATTTCTCAACCTCTGCCTTCCCAAGTAGCTGGGATTTCAGACTGGTCTGCCACGTCAGACCAGTGAACTGTTTTAGGTAGACTGGTGAGAAAAGGTGTCTCTGGGACCTTTGATAAGATCTCTGAATAATGAAAAAATAAACAACTGTTAAGTTCAGAGATGTAGTGTGCTATCGGGTAGAAAGAGATCAGAGGAGCAGAAGGATTGCTATTACTGTATCTGGATTGGTATGAGTAAAGCTATGGGAGCAAGTAAGTGAGGAGCCATGGACTGGATAATATCACTCCAGTCTTTGTAATTGGGTAAATACTCAACTCAGCATAGGCTTGGGGATTTTTTTTGCGGGGGGGGGGGGGCCGGTTGTGGGGCCTGATCTCTGGGCCTGGGCGCTATCCCTCAGCTCTTCAGCTCAAGGCTAGCGCTCTACCACTTGAGCCACAGTGCCACTTCCGGCATTTTTCATTTTGCTTATGTGGTGCTGAGGAATCGAACCCAGGGCCTCAGGCATGCAATCAAGCGCTGTACCACTGAGCCACCTTCCCAGCCCCTTGGGGATTTTTTTGTATTGGTTTTTTGTTGTTTTCTATTGTGGAAATGCTAGAGTGAACTCAGTTCCTTGTGTATGTAGGCAAGTGGTTTTCAGGGAAGAGGAAGAGAAAAGGCTAGAAGGGAGGAGGAAACCAGGAGATCTGTTTGCATATGAAGAAAATACTTGGTAAATGTGGGAAATAAACAAGTTTTGGGGTTGCTAATGGTTTTAGGATGAGGATTGGGAATTCAGACAGAGATAATAGACTGTTGAACAAGCACTTCTGAAGCTTCTCTAATTTGCCTCTAATGTTAATGATGTTTATCATAATGCAGAAGTTTTTTGAGCACAGTAGTAGTTTAAGCTTAAAGTTATTAGAATTCCTGCTTTTGTGTGTCTCTCTGCGTGCGTGCGTGCGTGCGTGCGTGCGCGCGCATGTGCGCATGCCTGACAGTTCTGGGGTTGGAACTGAGGGCCTGTCCTTGAGCTTTTTTTCTTGGCTCAAAGCTAGTGTTCTACCTCTTGGACCACACTTATGTTTCTGCCTTTTTTGGTAGTTTATTGGAGATAAGAGTTTCACACACTTTTCTGCCTGGACTGGCTTTTGAGCCATGATCCTCAAATCTCAGCCTCCTGAGTAGGTAGGAATACAGGTCAGGCTCCTACCTTTGTTGGGCGGGGGGCAGGAGGATAGTTTTGGGCTTGAACTCAGCCTTTGTACCCCTTTGGCTTGTTTGCTCATGGCTGGTGCTCTACCTCCATACCTCCAGCCAGCTAAAAAGCTGGTCAATTAGAGGAAACTGGTGGATTTTTCTGCCCCAGGTAGATTCAAACCTTGATCCTCCAGGTCTCAGCCTACTACTGAGTAGCTAAGATTACAGCTGTGTGTGACTTAACATGCACCTTTTTTTGGAGGGGGGGGCGTTGTGGGGCCTGAACTCTGGGCCTGAGCACGGTCCTTCAGCTCAAGGCTAGCGCTCTACCACTTGAGCCACAGCGCCACTTCTGCTATTTCTCCTTATGTGGTGCTGAGGAATCGAACCCAGGGCCTCATGAATGCGAGGCAAGCACTCTACCACTGAGCCACCTTCCCAGCCC